GGGGGGGGGGCTAAAACCTTTGACGTCTGCATCACAACAAACCATGCTGACATTTATTTACTTTCGAATATTCATTAATCTCGGAGTTCGAGTCCCTGTAGTGTCAAGAATTTTCTCTTCTCCATGTACTCCAGACCGGCTCTGGGGCTCACCCAGCCTCCTACCCAATTGGTACAAGGGGCTCTTTCCCCGGGAATAAATCGGCCGGAGTATGAAGCCGACCACACCTCCAACTAGTGCCGAGGTCAAGGAGATATACACCTTCGTGGCGTAGTACTCAGTTAGTTAAGCACATGGACAATTTTACCTCTACCTTTATATGGATTCATCTGACTCGAGATAGGGGGCAGTGGATGGCTCTTGTGAGCACGATAATGAACCTTTGGATTCCGTAGAATGCTGGTAAATTCTTGAGAATCATAGCTGAGCGACTGGCGGCTTCTCAAGTAGGACCCTGGATTTATTTGTAAGTCACTCAGTCATTCAGTTAGTTAATTGGTTAGTGTAGGAGGCCGCGCCATAGCTCAAGCGGTTAGTCGCTGGCTTCCCATCGCGGCGGCCCGGGTTCGACCCCGGGTCTGGTCAAGTGGGATTTGTGGTGGACAAAGTGGCGCTGGGGCAGGTGTTCTCAGAGTACTTCGGTTTCCCTTGCCAATCTTCATTCCACCAATTGCTCCACAATCACCCTCACCTATCATCTGGGGCTGGTACAATAGGCCAGAAGTGGCCGCAGTACAAGGTACTTAGTCCCACCCCAACAGCAATAAAAAAATAGTGTAGTAAAATTCTGTTGGGGAATGCTTATTGGACCTGTCTACCACCAAGATTAAAAAAAGTCTCGGGAATGAATGAATGTATAAGGGGTGGGCCTTCTCAGCCCTTGAACCGCGACCTACAGTGATCTATTGTGCTTAAAGTCTCGGGAAACATTCCTAAATCTTAAAATGTAATTTGATTTAAAACGTAACTAACGGGTGGCACGCGGTAGCGTAGTTGGTTGAGGCACTACGCTACAAACCGGAAGGTCGCGGGTTCAAGTCCCGATGAGGCCATTGAATGTTTTTCAATTTACCTATTCCTTCCAGCCGCACTGTGGCCCTGGGGTCGACTAAGCCTCTAGAAATGAGTACCAGGAATATTCTTGGGGGTAAAGGGATGACAACTTTGCCGCCATCTATGAGCAGACTGTCTAGAAAATGTGGGAACTTCTACATCTCACAACCCTACGGGCCTCCACGGCCTGTTGCAGGGATACCTTTACTTACGTAACCAATGAACTCTATACAGCAGAGTCCTTCTTGAGAAGTTAATTTTTTCCCTAGCTAGCCAAAAAAATTCCTACATTTTGGAACTCAAAAGTTCGTTGCCATGTTCCCAAGAGCTCGTTACTTGTCCCACTAGTGAGCGAGATAAATGTATCCCAGTCTTCCATTTTATTTCTTCACGATCCATTTTTATTATTGTCATCCCATCTGTGGACCGCCTCTGTGGTCTAGTGTCAGAGTTCCTGGCTACAGATCCAGACGTCCCGAGTTCGATTCCCGGCGCTGCCAGATTTTCTGAGTAGTGGTGGTTCTGGAACGGGGTCCACTCAGCTTCGTGAAGATAATTGAGGAG